TCAAGACATTTTTATATACATTGGAGTTTGAGCAGCACAGCAATATGTGATCACATGTTTTATTTAGGAAGGAACAGTGGAGGAGCAAGGCCCACTTGTGGAATGACTTTGTTGCGATAAAGCTGAGATTTTCACAGTTCGAGAACTTTTATTTGTTGCAGTGCTCTGTACTAAAACATCAGAGAGGTAACTTGGAATTAGACTCGAACCAGCCCTTCCTGATTTCTTGGACACGGGACATCGCAAGTGTTCGCCGCCTGTCGACAGTTCGTGAATATTCCAGTAATCGATTGTCGATTTCTAGGCGAGTTGCCAGCAAATCCTTGTTATAATGCCACGTTGTGTTCCTCAAAAATGTCTCTACTACAGACATTCCGTATGTACTCCTCCAAACATTTTATCGTGGAATGAAGCGGACGCAGTGAATAATACGCTAAAGGTGTTCAAACTTAATATTTCAACGTTATGATTTACCTTCTTGTGCAAAGAAGCAGCTCAGTAGGACTATACCATTCGCTGTTGGAGAACGCGGTTAAACTGCAACACTAGTTCCTCAACTCAACAGATCCAACGGGCTCGGAGTGTATCAAACTATGTAGTTTTAAAGAAGATATGAAGACTCCCGTACGGTATTGGTTTGGTGAGAGGGGTTCTCAGTTGTGTCAGTTTCCAGTTATGCATCATAAAATCACGTTCTTCATTCCATTTGCTATTCGTGATCCAATTGTCGCGGGCCCATGCAGTTCCCTGGAAAGCGCTTTTATGACTTCTCCTGTACCAGCTCATCTTCTTGTCATGATGTCGTGCAATGTTGTTTCCGAGAAAAGTTGTGATCGTTTCTGGCGATGCAACTCAGAGCACCTTGAAAAAACACCGTAACCAACAGAACGAGTATAGTTGATCAGAGCATTTCAGCAGGTTCGCCACTGTGCCATACTCAGACAACTGGTATTTTATAGTCTAGCGTTGAGCAAATTGATGAAAAAGATATGGCGAACTTTCGCAGTGCACCAAATAGGAAACTGCGAAGCTCCCGTACATACTTTGTTTGCGAAGGTGTTGAAAAATTCACTACGAGTGTCTTTGCCAAGCTAATATTCTATTCAAAGAAGTGTAAACTCATCTTGCCTGTCACATTTGTTTTTCACTCAAGCAGCAGAAAAACACCACAAAAAACACACATTTCCTCACATATTAGGTAACTTTTATTCTCTTACCTTTGGTAGGATTTTTATTCTGCCGAGACTGCCAGCTCTTTCCAGCAAATCTCTCATACACGCTTCATATAAGAATAGATCTTGATATCCTTCCGAATCATTGTAAATGCTCAGGCAAATCATAAAATCGACGCCGGTAGTAGGTAAGATAGTTTCAGCAAGATACGCCTATAGCAAATGTTTTCTTGTAATAAGTTAGTGCACAAGACTTTTCTAGTACCAATGTGTCCGATAATTCGACATAACTCTGATCGTTATTGTATGAGGAAAGGAAGATGAAACGATGGAAAGAAGAGTTCTGAAGGGATTCAGCTGCGAGACTCAACGAAGTGACTGCGCTATGAGTGACTGAGCTCTCTCCCTCGTTCGACGAGTTGAGGAGCTCTCGCCTCCGTTAAGACAGCAGCAATCACCTTGTGCTCTGATCATTAGTTGGAGGCTACTGAGGTATTTCCTTCCAGGGAATTCACCTACACATTGGCGAAACAGATAGCATTAAACTTTTTTACTCGAGAATTCAATGGCATAGCAAAGAAATAATCACTCAAGCAACCTCGTAAGGGCTGAACTTTCAATGTTGCTGGTATGGAAAAAAGACGTGAGAGACACCCACAACTACACTATTAGCTAGATCGCGAAGATTGAACAAAGAAACATTGGCAGAAAGCATACTGTGGGAACGGTGGGCCCTGTTCTGACCGAGAGAAAACTAAGTAGCCCACCAACGCTGTTGACTATGGTAAAAAGACGTGAGAGACACCCACAACTACACTATTAGCTAGATCGCGAAGATTGAACAACTTACCTGGCTGTCATGGTGAACGGGGTGAATGAAGCGTTACCACAGCGTTACGACATTCCGGAGACACTCGTCGCGTTCACAGTTTCCCTTTATTCAATCGAGCTGTTTATGACACTTATGCTCGAGACGGAAGAGCGAGCTGCTTTTCCTAAAGGAGTCTCTGGCCAAGAAGACCATTCGTGCTTGTTGGATTCCGGAAGCAGTTGGCAGAAATCAGCAGTAGAAGATTATTCACTAGTCGAACTACAACAAACAACAGCAAAAATAGTGAGGCTTCATACCCCAAAATATCATTATTTGAGCGCAAAAACCAGATCACTCGCAACCCAGGCACGACTGGATAGCTGTCACCATATAATGTACAACAATGACCACCATCGTCCACCTATCCAGTAGGCGTATTCACAGCAGAAAACAACACGGGACATTCGCTAATTCCAGCCGGCTCTACAGCTCTACTTGCTGCAGAAAATTCCAATAAAACCATGGTTTGGTGTCGGGAAGTGGGGTAATAAGTTGTAAGTAGTGACATTGGTAGAGTTCAGGATGGTTTTTCTTCTTTTTGCCGGAATAGGATCTTCGACAAAGATTTATTCGTTCGGGCTGCACAGGGTAGGACACACGAATTCTATGATACAGAGTACTTATACACAGAAACAAATCTCATGTTGCGAAGGAAAGACAAACTAGGACATTCAA